CTTACCTTTTACCCATTTCAAAGGAAAAGGGCACATAGGCTATTTGTCTCGCCGCCCTGCCCACGCCAACTCAAAATGAACAACCAACTTAGCGTTTTCTCAACAAAATTGCTCATATTTACTTTATGTTCTGCAGTTAACATGATAAAGATTGATAACTGCTTTCTGACATTCTTAGGACAAAAGAACTAATTTTTTCGTGACAGAGAAACACACATTCACACTCATACAAACAAACTTAGCGCTTTATTATAAGTATTTTATATGCTTCATCAGATTTCGTGCTCCACTCCAACTACCTGCGCGATTTGTTTTGGGCGAGCGCCAATCATATTTTTTCGAAAACATCTTCGTATGCAGCTTTCATTTCTTTACATCCAAATTTGTCGCGACATTTGATTCTCGAGAGATTTTAGTTTCAATGGATGCCGATAGAATCAGTGCAGTTTTACGTGCTCGAGCTCAAGTGATAGCTGCAGAAGAATATTTGTCGAAGGAAAGAGGTGCTCTGGGTCCTAGCGATCATTACAGTTAGGTGGCTCAGTTGTTTCTTTCTTGAACGTTCAGGGTCAGAGACTTTTTAAACTCATATTCACTTGAGAAGCGGTAAGACTTTGGCAGAACTAGAGTGCTCATCTTTCGAAGATTAAGCGGCTGTTTTTGAGCTTTCTGGATTTCTCAACAATGGGACAGGAAGTTACTTTTTGAATTTTTTGGATTTGAATCCTATTATCTTCAAAATAATATAAAGGGCTAATTAGGAAGCAGACAAGTCACTGAGATAACATGGGTGTGCCCTATTAAACCAAGTCTTAATAAACATATCATAGAGCTTAAACTGAAAGTCTAGGGTGTTAAGTCTATATCGAGTCTTTTATATAATTTATGAATATCAACTAAACAGAATAACCTCTTTTGGAATCAAAGTTTGCTTTTTGAAGCATCTTATTATATGGCTAAAAATACAAAGAAGACCTATACCGAGGTGAATTCTCAGTTAGTCTAACTGACAAGGTTTTTTCATGTGTGTTATATTCCAATAAGCTAAGATGTAAAAATCTTAAATGACCAAGAAGAGTTATGAAGTTGCACTTTTTAAACATTTGGGATATATATACTATCTATGGAATATACCTATGATATGAATACTT